TGCACTGATGGACTTTCTATGCTATAGATGGTGTACATTATTCCACCAGAGCAAAGCTGAGTGATACCCTATCTTGGGTACAACCCCAACAGTACTGCCAGCTTACTTCCCTCTACATATTTCACTGTTTTTGCTGTTAAACTCTCAGGATAAACATATAACACTATTACAGACTCTCTACTGTTTGTGTTTTTTCCGGTCAAAACCAGAAATAGGAACCTTTTGGGGGAAAAAAAATGGTAAATATGCTAGCTCGCTCACATGATTATTTAAATTTCAATTCATCCCTCAAGGAGTGTAATTCACATAAAACAGAGGGTTCATGTGTGCTGGAAATAGTGTTGCAAATGGTAGTATTTCAACAAACCACTTATTAAGGGCTTTACAGTAGTAATACATACTTGTCTTCATGTTCCTCAGCATTTGTAACAAGTTGACAGATATTTGGTAACTGTAAGTCATTTTATTAAGTAAGGGATTCTTGTTTGATAGTCTCAAGTACTAGCTTTGAAATTGTTAAGAGAGTAGATTAAAAAATAAACTCCCTAGACACAAGTATCCATTGTGTAGGATCACATATCACATAAACAGGCTTGTTGAAGCACCCGACATTTACTCTCAACACACTCTGCTATGAGTGGCAAAACCATTCAGTTCTTTATCATTTATAGATTGACTTACAGCTCGCAATTTCAATGAACAAAGAACACTTTGTATTACACTTATGTAACGGCTCTATCCAAATAAAATTAAATTCTGTGATCTTCATGTGCCTTAATCAGTAAACACAAACCACTGGAAAAGCTGGAAGGACCCATCACTGTCAACTCTGGTCTCAGGGCAGAGCCGTGGCTGCTGAAAACGTTCCTACCAATGCCAGTGGCTTTGCAGCAGGTATGTAACCTCCATGAACAAGAGCAGATAATTTATAAATGCAATTATTGTCACACCAGCCATTTGGTTTGCATCAGTCTTTACGGTGGGCTTCCAGATGTAGTTCAAAGAGGAAGACTTCCTAGTATCACCTGTCCTCACTGTGAGGACCTTAGGTACCAAATGTTGGCAGCCGCACAAAGCCCAGTCCAGCACTGGGACACACACTGGCAGGACATGGGTCAGGCAGTTCTCTTATCAAACAAGCTCTGAAAAGCCTGTGTTGCTGCATCTATATCGTCCAGCAGGAAGGACTTACCTTG